AAAATAATGCCCTTCACTCCAACTGATTTATATCACATATCATTGCTTTTTATGTATTGTATTGATTTTCCAAGAATTTATTACCACAAAGCTATCCAAAACACAAAACTTTTTCTAAGTCAAATTTACACTTACAGGCAAAGCTAATGCAATAACATGAAACTGTCCATGGGGAAATTAGGAGGGAGAGGGCCATTCGGAAGTTGCAACTACACGTCAGGTAGTTCTCACTTAATGACCACAATAGAGACTGGAAAATTTATTGTTAAGCAGGGCAATTGTTAAACGAGTCACGCCCAATTTTATGACATTTTTTGTAGCAGTCATTAAGTGAATCTCTATGGCCGTTAAGTGAATCACATGGTTGTTAAGCAAATCACACAGTTCCCCATTGATTCTGCTTGCCAGAAGCTGGCTGGGAAGGTCACAAATGGCGACCTTGGAATGCTGCAACCATCGTAAGTGTATGCTGGTTGCCAAGCACCTGGATCGTGATCACGTGACCACGGAGGTGCTGCGATGGTTCTAAGTGCAAGGACTGGTTGTAAGTCTCTCTGTTCAGCACCATTGTAACTTCAAATGGTCACTAAACAAATGGTTATTAAGTGAGGGCTATCTGTACTAATCAACGTATACTAATTTGGTGTGGGATTTTAGCCTTCTGGAACAGCATCTCCCCAGAGATCTGTATGGCTCCCACCCTGATGATGTTCCAAGACTTCTTGAAAACCTGATTGTTTTCCCAGGCTTTGGGGCAGGGTGGCTGCTGAGTCCCTGTCAGTTGCTCTCTCATGTGCTATGTATGGCTGCTGCTGTTTTTTTTTTTTCAGACACACGTTATTTATTTTCTCCATTTTGTGGAGTCCTTGGTGCTCTCTGAACTTGGTTGTTTGCTTGCAGACATTTCATTACCCAATTAGGTGACATCATCAGTGTGAGGGAGGGTGGGGTTCACTGGCTGTTTATATACAGTAGCTTGCCCTGCCAATGTTGGGGGCGGTCTCCTTGGTAGTTCCTTGATTAGGGTATTGTTTTCTGCTTGATTGTTTGTCTGGTGTTAATCCCTGCTTATCTGGGTGTTGGTTGCTAGAGATCACCAAAGACTCCACAATTCAACCCTGGACTACAGATATTCTCTTCTATTTCTCCATTTTACTATTCCTTCTTTTTCAGAGCGTAAGCTTCCCAGAGTCATCTGAGATGGGCAGCCTCTAAATTTAATTAAACAAGCAAACAAACAAACAACAACAATAAGTATTCATTACTCCTACAGTACCTAATGGTCAGCACTACCCACCCCCCAAGCCTTCCCCTCCTCAGAATAGTAACAAGGAACGCATACGTCCTGCAGCCTTATTTCCTAGAAACTTACAGCTGTCTAGTAAATCCAGTTGGCATTTTGGGCTACCACTCCCATACCCCAAACCTGTGTCATTATTGTGTACTTTCATAACAACCCGCCTCTCTTTTGACCCTGGTTGTAATTCTAGGCCCCTAGAATGTCTGAGACAAAGCAGCCCTGAACATGATGGGATTGTCTCCTGAATCAAAGCCTCAAGCTGGAAGGTACCTCAGAGGTCATCTAGTCCAACCTTTTCTCAGTACAGGATCTGTAAAGCATTTCGGGCAAATGGGGACCCCGGCTTGGCTTGAAGACCTCCAGTGAAGGGGAATGTACCACTCCAGGAGCCAATCTGCTCCGTGGGATGATAGCCCGCCAGGAAATTCCTCCTTCTATCCCACCTAAATCTATTTCCCAGAAGTTTATTTCATTTCATTTATTTCAAGATTTATAAGGCCGCCCAACTCAGTGGGACACCGGGCGGCATACAACGTAAACACCCAAGAAGTCAAAAAGAAGAAACGACAAAGCAAACCATCGAACAACAAGCAGGCAATATATAAACACAAAACACAAAACGTTAGCCATTGATTTGGTCTTGCCCTCCTATATTTCAGAGGCCTGAATATTTAATATAGCCGTCCACTCTGCTGGGCTCTAAACTTCCTTCAGTCCTCTTTTCTGGAGACTTAACATACTTAGTTCTTGGCAGGACTTGCCTTCCAGACTCCCCCCTCCCCAGTCTTGGTAGCCCTCCTCTGAATCCGCTCCCAAATTTGTTGATGTCCTTTTGAGGCTGCGGTGCCCACAACACGCATAGGAATACACTATGCACATGCAGATCACTGCTTCTGGTTAGCGGGGTACATGAATGTCTCTTTGTGGTTTCACCAGCAAACCAAATCCAGCTTTTGATTTGCATTAACATTTCTCCTCTTGGTGGCTGCTCTGGTGCCTGACGAGAAGCGATCTATCCCCAAATGTTTTCCCACAATCGGAACACCGGTACGGTTTCTCCCCCGTGTGGATCCTCATGTGCACCCTCAAGTTTGAGTTGCCTCCAAAGCTCTTCCCACAATCGGTGCAGGTGTACGGCCTCTCTTGGGTATGCGTACGTTCGTGCACCAAGAGCCCTGAGCTCTGGCTGAAACCTTTTCCACAGTCTCGGCATCTGTAGGGTTTCTCCCCCGTGTGGATCCGCTGGTGCCGAATGAGGACTGGCCGTTCCCGGAAGCTCTTTCCGCAATCAGTGCACTTGTACGGCCGCTCCCCCGTGTGAGTCCTTTTGTGGACGGTGAGATTGGAGTTGTCGCAGAAACTCTTCCCGCAGTCAGAACACTGGTAGGGCTTCTCGCCCGTGTGGATCCTCTCGTGGGTGATCAAATATGCCCTGGTGCTGAAGCCCTTCCCACACACAGAGCACTTGTGTGGCTTCTCGCCCATCTGAGTTCTCTCATGAGCCTGCACATTGTACTTGAGTGGCAAGTCCTTGCTGCAACGAGCACAGGACTTCTCACCCTCGCTTACGGGCTTCTGGCTCTCGCCGGAAGAGATGGCTAGCGGAGCCATACTGCGGTCCAGTTCAATGTACCGTCCCTGGGAATTAATGAATTTGTTCTGATCTTTTTCAGGATAAGCTTCTGTTGGGCTTACAGTGGCACCATCTTGCTTCGGCCAGCTGGAGACCTTTGGTTCAGCTCTTCTGGGCAATGCCCAGAGGGCTTCAAAGTTCTTATCCTTTTCCAATTCGCTTTGCTCTTTCCCATCTTCTAAAATAAAGAGAATCCTATGGTGAAAATCTGAACTGCCACTTTCCATTTGGGGTGCTGATCTCTGGACCCTAAAACAGAGCAGCAACCCAATGATCTACCCAAGAACCACCCTGAAATAGCACTAGGTTTCGATGATGTGATGTTTCTCCGTTTTAAAAAAAAATTAAAAATAATCAGCGCTTATATTTATTGTAGACTTATATCACCCAATGACAGGAATGCTCTAGGCTACAGGTTCTTAGTCTGGGGTCCACTGACTCCTTGGAGGTCCATGGATAGATTACAGCGGGTATAGGAAAAAAAAGTATAACTTTATTTTCAGTAACCGCTAACTGAAATTTAGCTTGTTTTGCTATTGATTTAATGGATTAGTAAAGAAGCTCATATAGGACTACAGTATATTATATATTTGTCCTTTTAAATATTTCGATCATAGTATTTGAGCATGATTGCATTCCTTTTATAACACAATCTATATCTATATATTTTATTTAATGCATTTAAGTACATTTTTCTGAGAAGGGGCCTGCAGGCTTCCCTATATTCTTCCCTGCACAACTTGTGCAAAGTTCATTTTATTAGTTCTGCAGCTGTGGGGCAGAGGCGGACTGAGTAAATCCCAGGGTGTAGCCAGATTGAAAAGTCTGGGGATTCACCAGCAGTCCACCAATTGTGGACTCCCAGCCTCCGTTTTATGCTTCCTGCTCCAAACATTGCCCCCAAAGCGAATATTAAAATATTTTAAATAGTAATAATGAAACAACAAGAAGAAAATGCGTGGTCGGCTGGGAGAGAACCTTGACGTTTCAGTTGTCCTTAGTGAAAGGATCAGCTCCGGCTGATTACCTAGACGCCTCCATGTTCTTTTCTCAGCAACAGTATATTTGCCCCTGCCTTCTTCCACAATGTTTTTTTTGACTCCCCCTACTAGGGATTTCTTATTCATCTCCCATCCAGGCACACCCAACCCTGCTTAGTCACTGGAGAGCAGAAAAGATCCATGCAGTCTTAGTCTCGCCTACACCCCAGAGATTGATCC